CGAAAAATCTGCATTCATATTGGGTAAGGCCCTTTCTTTGCTTGATCAAGTTGGAAAGGTCTCCGTGTGGGCAAAACTCCATCAAAATGTACATGTAGCGTGCACTTGTAGAATGGTCGATGAATTTTACAATGTTGCGATTCTTCAGCTGTCTGAATACCTTCACTTTTTTGCTGCAATTCTGGGATTTTGCTTGAATTTTGCAGGCCGATTTTTCAGACTCGCGAAAAACAAGAAATGTTTTGGCAAATGTTCCAAGACCTAGCAATTTTTCTATTGTGTATATGTTAGCATTGAACCGGTTGGTTTGATTCAATTCCACGTTGATTGAATCGGATGGTTTGTTGCGGCCAATGTGGACGTTGGCACTTGCTCGACGTGGTTGCTGTTGCGTCTGATGGATTGGGACACTTCTGGATACAATTATATTGGGTCCTCTACGTCGCGAAGGCGGCAATCTGGGCCAAACAATTCTGGTTCGTCGTTTTTCACCCGGATCCGTTGAGGATTATTTTGGTTTTTTTATGCGTGTAATTTCTCTTCACGCCTTTCTTTCTCTTATTCGATACGTAGCAAACTGTTTTTTGCACCCCTCAAATGTGCATTGATACATTTTATTTTTTCGTTCTGTTCTTTTAGTGTCCCTATCACTTTCTTTTATTTTTCGTTCTGTATTTTTTAGCACTACATGAATGGTAGAGCTACTAATCTGCTTTTTTTTCTAGATACTTTTTGAGTGATGAAACCAATTATGGTGAATTTGAATTTTATGCTCATATTTTTTATTTAATTTAAAACAGTGGCAGTAACGACAAATAAGTGCATAACATCTCAAAGCGCCAATCAAATTTTTATTATCAAATGTTGTTTAAAAATTACATTAATTTTTCGTATAATATTTTCTGAGTCTTGAACAGAATTGAAGTGATTTTAGATTATATGCAAATATTATTTATTTAATTCAAACCAAAGGCAGTATATTTCAAAAAATAAATAAAACCAAGATCTTGTAATTCATTTTGCAAATAAATATATTACTTCAAAGTTACTTTGATGAAATACATTTCATGTACTGCGCCAAAAAATAGTTTGTTGTGAAACAACAAAATAGATTAAGTAACTAAAAACTCAAGGACGAAGCGAAGCTCTGCGGTCTTGTTTTTTACTCACTTTTATTTTATTTTTTGGTGTCTCTCACTTTCTTTTATTTTTTTGGTCTGTTTTTTCTTCGGTTTTCATTCATCTAACTAAAAATTGGTTAGGCCAGAAATATAAATAGCAACCCTCGTAACGTATGTTATCTGAAATTTGGAAGAAAAAAAAAAAAAATAAAAAAAAAAGAAAACAGAAGAAGTTTGTATAGAACATATTGAACGATATTGAATTGGCAAGGTATGAGTTCGCGTGCAGCGAAAGCACAAAATGAATCTGTGCACTCATATGAGAAATACCAGTGGCCACTAAAATTTAACAGTGGCAACTGTTCTGATCGAGCTCATCGTCTGCGGGTCCGCTTGAACTGCCTAAACAAAAAGAAATTATTTAAAAAATACCAATGAAAATTCCGTGAGTTTTTGGTGTGCAAAAAACACATTTTTTATTGATCGTATTTCAAGGGAGTTTTATGCATGTTGTTACACAGCTGTTGTTATATAATTGATGGTTATATTTCTAATGATGATTTGCAATCAATTGTATTTGCTCCGTTTGTTCCCATCAATTTTGATTAGCCGAATCAGTGGAGGTGGATACGCCGTTCAAACTGGCCCTGTAAAAACACAAGTGTTCCAAATAAAATATAAATTGAAGTAAAATAAAAAGTTGAAATCTAGGAATAGATAAGCTGCGATATTTTAGAATTTTCGAATAAGATTGAGAACTAAAAAATTGAAAATGTTGACAGTTAACACGGATAATTTTTCTTACCACAAATCTTTGCATTCTGTAGAACAGAATGGATTCATTACGAATTCACCGCATCCCTTGCACTTCTTTGTTTCAACTTTGAAGTTGCTTACAATTCGTTCGTATTTCTGTTTGAGCCGTGCTTCGATATTGTTCTTTTCATCCATGGCGCTCTGGACTTTTTTTTCCAAATCAGCCATTTGATCGCTATGTTCCGTTCTGATTTTTTTCATTTCGTCTGAAGCACGTTTCTTTTCAGATTGCAGTTGGTCTTGGTGGCTTTTGCGCAATTCATCCAATTCATGGGTGCGCGTTTTCAATTTGGTTTGAAGTTCCAACACCATGTTATGTTTCGCTTCGAGCCCATTGCACAAACCTTCTTTTGCTTGTTCTAGAATTTCAATTCTAGTTTTGGCTTCATCACGCGTTTTATTTAATGCCGTAATTTTGTTGCTATAATCCGCTTTAATTTTGGCCACTTCGTTCCTTGCATTGGAATTGGCTTGATTACGGTCGGCCTTCAATCGATCCTGTAGACGATTGTTCTTCGCCTGACAATCAGCGAGTAACTTTTTCAATGCTTGCAATTGTCGATGCAATGCCCGAATCTGGTTCGCTTTAAATACATTTTCATTTTGGATTCGATTGTTGCTCTGCTGGAGCTGTTGTATACGATTGAATTTGGCCTGGACCGCTTTTTCCAATTCATCGACTCTTCGGTCATGTTGAACCGTCATATTCTCTTTTTCTTCAGAGAGGCGTTGATTTTCGGATTTCAATCTCGTCACACATTCCTGTGTGCTTTCTAGATTTTGGTCAACCTTTTCTTTTTCTTGTTGCAATTTGTCAATTCTTGACATATATTTGGCCGTAATCGAGTTACGTTCTTGACTCCATTCCGATCGTTCTTTGACATGGCTTTTTTTCAGTTTTTCACCAAATTTCAACATCGACTGATCGTGATTGAGAACTTTCTGTTCCATTGTTGCCATCGATTCTTTCAATTCATCGACTTTTTTGCGGTGTTCCAATTCCTTTTGCTGAATCATCGCTGAGAATTGTTGCTTTTCGGACTCGAGTTCAATCGTTTTTTGGTCGAGGATCGCTTGCTCATGCTGGTTTTTTGACAAAACCTCCATTTCCTGTTCCAACGTTTCAATTCTTGTCTTGGCTTCAGCAACCATTTGAATGCATTAATTTATAGGAACGCATGGAACTTCATGGCGCTGCCCATTTGAAGATCTACATCAATTCAAAGGATTTTTTCGCCAGTTTCCCGCTCAAGTTTGTTGAATTCGAAATGATCGAAATTATTGCAGCTGAATCTGAACCGTCCAACTATTCATTTTTCATGTTTGGGCATAAAGCTGTTTGCGCTAACTCGAATAACCACCACCAGGCTGGGCTGAGTGTTACAATCGAAACGGTTGAAGTGGATGATGGTGATTGGGAGGATAATCAGGCTGAACCGTGTGGCGCGAGTGGCACGATTGCAGCGGTTGTAGCAGACGATTCGAAAACGGACTGATCGAACGATTTCTGACGAGAAAAATTGGCTTAAATCCAAATATTCAACAAGAAATATTATGATCTAAAAGCAAAAAAAAGCATCAAAACATTCAGATCCCAAAATATCCCTTTATTCGTATTCATAATCAAGTTAAGAATTTAAGAACCTCATTTTTATATATATAATAATCCATGAGTATGATTTTTTTTGCTCAGCAATTTACATCAACTCGTTTTCTATACATGGAACAGGAATAGACATGATTTTTTGAATATAGTATATTTTGATTTACACTTTCAAACCAACAAATATTCTCTATCGTTTTTCTGTGTCTTTTCTTTGACTTCAGCATTTATCTCATTTTTCTTGTGAACCTAATCAATGGACTCTAAGCTTCATTCGAGCACAATGGAAATTGCTCGTTACTAGCTCATGAATTTTTTTGGGTGAGTAATTCAATAAGATTTGTGGAATGACGCTCATTAAATGTTACTCGCAAAACTATGGGCCATAAGCTGACAATTTGGAGCAAGATGAATCTGAAGACATAGACTCGATCCGCTCATTTTTCGTTAACATGCATCCATCGTTGAAAACTAATCGGCCTTAAAATTGTGCAAAAAATGTCAATATAAAATGGAAAATCTCTTTAATTCTGAAAAGCAGTTTTTAGTTTACCACAAAATTGTCAGGACAAAAACCATAACAATAGGTCTAAATTTCATGTAGTGCAAAAAATGACACAAGTAGTTTCTAACAAAACAATGTTTTTTTTCTTCAAAGATTTGTGTTTGAATTTGATGAAAAATCGTGTTTGTTTGCTTCAATGCTGTACCCAAGAAACAATTGTTGACGCAAATACATCCATTACCAAGCGTATGTAAACGGTCGAATTAGGGCCCTCATTTGTGTGTAGTTTCAGTCATTTTTAACGTCACAATGGAAGTAGAAAAAAACGGTAAAAACAAATCAATTAGAAAGATATAAAAACGATTATGAATCAATTGATAACAAAATAACAAATCACGTGTGAAACAAGGTCATAAATGGACCCACCTCGAGTATCATCCAACTGTACGCTTCACTTGAACTAGGTCCATTTATGACTTTGGTAAATATTGGTGTGGATATTGAAATTGACCAACTGATTGAGAAAATCTTACAACAACTTACCTACGGGCTTAAGCCGTATTACATCGTGTATTTGCACACACATTTTAATGTACAAAGCCACAAAAATCAAGCTTTGATAATAACTAATCGTTAATGTTTTATTTTATTCTCTTGATCTACGCTCTACTTTTCATCGACAGCATTTGATTGGCCATCTCGACATTTTGGCCAAATCCTTTCTGGTGGTAACACAAATGATTCGTGCACATTCAAGTCGAAAACCATACAACGGCCTAGAATGAACGAATTGAACTCGAAATTGAAATACAATAAAACATGAATGTGATTGTATTGTGTAGATCATATACCTCTGTACAAGATGCACTTCGCCGCACAGATGTCACGATGCCAAGTAGCAGTAAAAGCGTTCTGATCATTCATTGGGCTTGAGTGCCAGTTTTTCTGGAAGGCTATTTTCTTTGACCCCAATAACCCAATTCCTTTATCAGTTGCATCGTAATGTATTCGCTGCCATAATTGTGGTTTGGCCTTACGATTTTTGACACGAATCTTGCAAATACTTGTGTCACCAATTTTCACAAAACCTGGCAAATCGGATTCCGCTTCCGGCTGTTTGGTTACTTTACGGCTGCGATGGCCTGCAACTCGACGTCGTTGACGTAGTTCACGCCGTCGTATGCGTCGATTGTACCGTCTCACTGCCTCTTCGGTATCCAATTGCTCTGGATTGTGGCTTTCGCGCTCACTTCGACGCTTTTCCCGTTGCTTCTCAGCTTTTTCGGCTCTAGTTACATTTGCTGTTGGCTTTTGGCTGGCATTTTGTTTTCGATCACGTTGCTTGCGCCGTCTGCTTCGATCAGTCACAATAACCGGTGGGAGTCTCACATCCTTGTGTGGGCGACAATCTTTGCACACTTTGAATCGGTCACTTTTTGTGCTTCTCGGAAATCGCCGCAAGCAATTGGCACAGGTTTGTGATGTATACGGCTCTGGTGTAAG